CGATCTCGTAATACATTTATACTTTTACCTCGGTCCGCCACATCCGCTTACATCCGCTGGATTCATTTAGTCGATAAATTCTGCAGTAAGATATTAAGATGAGTTAAGGAATGCTTTGCGTCCTATCTGAATGGATAAGCTCTTGAGATGCAATTATATTCTTTATGAGATACAATTATTCTCTTTATTCTTCGAGATTATCTTTGTAAAAAGACTTTATCATCGGATGTACATCCCAGCAGTAAAAGCGCTTATATAGTCAATGAATAATTATTATTCGATGCACAAATATATATATATATTGAGAAAAAGGCATCCAATATTTTTAACATTTTCTTTCATTGAATTTTAATAACCAGAAGTATCATATATTGACGCCAATGAATCAGTTATTTAGATGCAGACAGTTTATCAAAGTAATAATGAGAGATGGATGGAACTTTGTTGCTTCCAAGACAGGCTGCTGAATCATGCAGGAAGAACTGTATTTTCGTATCACGCCATTAGTTTTCGTTATGTGCACACAGCGAGAATTGTATGGCGAGTGTGTTTATGGAGAAAAAGAATCGATCTTTTTATTTGCGAACGCCTACCAGGAATAGATCAAAGGATCAATGTTGCTTTGTACTTTTCAGATAGAAGAATTAGATCAAAGAAACAAACTCTTATATACAATGTGCTTGTCCGATTCTTAGATCTTTTGATCAATTCTTTGATTATATTTGCGAACATCTGGTTACAAATGTCTTGTGTATTAATTATATTTTATAACTTTCAACACTCTTTATTATTTTGAAACACGGCGTACGGCATAAATTATTTTTACATTTTGCGGAAACATTGTATTGCTAGTTATGGACGGATGTAATCTTGATTATGTAAATAAGATCACGGCAAAAGATGAATAATTTTGTGGTTCGTTTATAGAAAATGTTAAAAGATCATATATTTTACGCTTACATCTTTTCTTTTTGATATTAATATTAATGTGTCTTATATAATAGTAATGCTGATTTATTTTATCATATATTGATTATATGCAAGCATATAATAAAAACTTACTATTAAAATATAATTAAAATTTATTATTACAGTGATGACACAAAAATAAGTACAAGAAAGAAATTTTAAGATAATATATGATACTGTTTTTTTTCTCTCTTTCTTTTGATTTTAAAATATAACTTTAACATAAACATCTTTATTTATTTTAGAATGAATGTTTTGCACAGTTTCCAATTTTATATCCCTATTTAAATAACACAGTAAAGTCACGATTACAGATTGAAGGTTAACAGAATATAAAATATTTACGTTTATGAAAATCGATTTATAACGCAAATGCTTTAGCAACCAATGTTTAGATTAGTCGTGTTCTTGTGTCTGTACGTCATTGTCGTCAGATGACAACAGTTTTTTCTCCACATAATACATTGGAACCTACATTTTATATATTTTTATCTATTTAGTTGTACGAAATATCTCTCTTTGCTTCCTGACAATACTTTCGCAGTACTTTTGCAGATGTCGTAGAACATAAGAGCAATTTTACGTTCAGTATTCAAGTCTTACAAAATAAAAAGCGATTCTGAAAAGTTTTAACATCAAAGTGATTTTGATTTTCGATTTTTAACATCGAGAAAAGTCGAGCAAACGTTATTTACGAGTTCTGTACGGTTATTGAGAAGAAAATCGCACTCGTTCAACATGGCCGATAAAAGGCACGTGTTACATCTGCCCAAGGATTGCTTTAACACAGTCGAGATTTCTCAAGAATATTTTTCTCCGGTATGCGAGTCCTCTACAGCGAAAGAATATCTATCTTCGCCGACTGAGTATTTCTCGCCTTACGCGACGCCGCAAACTTCGAAGAAAGAGTTCCTGGACGAGAAGCTTAATAATAATATGTTTGAAACACCTAAAAAGATATTTGAAGAAAACGAGAACGAACTCTCACTAAACGATTCATCCAATGCGACGTGCATCTCGGAAATGAATTTCATACGACCGAAATATTCTAATAATGTGAGTCCCGCGATCGAGAAGCTCATGCGGATGATAAAAATGCCGAGTTCATCGACGCCTGAAAATTCACGGACATCGACAAAATGCATTTTTTCGCCAAATTATTCCATCAGCAAAGCTAACGAAGATCCCTCAATTTACACTCTGACTAGAAAACGTTTGGATGCGAGCTTCTCAAGTCCGAAGGCTCTCGCTACCGTTTCCCAAGAACACAGCGTGGACAGTCCCACATTGAAAGTGACGTTGGTAAAAGAGATCGAACCACCACTGCCTCAGAAAGTGCAAGCATCTTCGAGATATCAAGAATTCGATTCGTTTCCGGATGACCAGATAGTCGTAGGCTCCCCGCTTTACAAGGTGTGTAAAAGAGTCGTCCTGATATATTACACTTGATACATCTCATAAGAAGATTACAATATATAATGTATGTGTATAGGATGTTATCTACGTGTCCGAGGTGCATTTTTTATTGATGGCATCCAACAGGAATCGCCGGATGAGAATGGCAGCTTCGCGTAGAAGAGCACGAAGCAATTCGCGAGATAGCGCTTTTAGCGAGTTTATGGAATCCGATTCAGAATAACTGAATGGCCAATGGCTTATCATCGATGAGAATCGTTAAATAGCAACCAGCAATATTCGAACGTTATCTTTTAATTTTATTTTTCTCGAATTAAATTACGCATTATACTAGGCGATATAATAATAAATAATAAATAACTTATCATGTTTAATTAATCAGATTGTTTGGTATCAAAGTGTTGCATATTGACAAGTAGTTATTTAATCGAAAATAATATTGTTCAATTACATTGATTGATCTTGCAATGACAGAAGATCTGCAGGTTAATAATTATGATTAATGGTTATGAAATTGCAGATGGCATTTTTATCTAAATATAAAAGTTGATTAAATTTATGAACTCTTGACATAATTCCGTTATTCCCTTGGAATGGCCAATGGCTTATCATCGATGAGAATCGTTAAATAGCAACCAGCAATATTCGAACGTTATCTTTTAATTTTATTTTTCTCGAATTAAATTACGCATTATACTAGGCGATATAATAATAAATAATAAATAACTTATCATGTTTAATTAATCAGATTGTTTGGTATCAAAGTGTTGCATATTGACAAGTAGTTATTTAATCGAAAATAATATTGTTCAATTACATTGATTGATCTTGCAATGACAGAAGATCTGCAGGTTAATAATTATGATTAATGGTTATGAAATTGCAGATGGCATTTTTATCTAAATATAAAAGTTGATTAAATTTATGAACTCTTGACATAATTCCGTTATTCCCTTGAAATGATATTTAGTGAGATATTTTGGTTGTACTAAAATTTGAAGATTTTTTTAAGTATATTTATATATATATATATAATTTGAAGTATCTTATATAATTCCACTATTTTATTATTTAATAATCAAAAGGGGAGCATTGATATTTAAATCACATTTTACTGATATTTTTGTATCTATTGGTTTTTTTAATTACTGCACATTAATAAATAAAAAATGTTATTAAAATAAGTGAAACATCTGTACGCCTCTATTTAATATTTTTGTTTATAATAATATTATGACATAATGTATATGAGTTTTGTATTGTAGTTGAGTGATTACGTGCGCTCGACTTTGTTTATATTAGTGTCTGTTCTGTATATAGAGTAGCGCATGATTAATAACATCTGATGTAACTGATCGACACTGAGTGATGTAACTGATCGATACCGAGTGTGATTCGAACACACTGAAAAACAATTGCGTCATTTATTCCAAATGGCACTGTTTAGAGTAATGACTAGAAACGCGTAAATAAACGATGTAAATTATTAATGATCATTTAGAGAAATTTTGGATAAAAATTACTCTAGAAACAAATGTTTGCGTTTAGCTTTAAAAGACAATCGACAAGATGAATATCTGTCTCAGAGATTTTTATATAAGGCGCGTTTCAGAGGCTTCAGGGCATGTCGCCATCTTCTGGTATAAATGAGCATTTGTATCGATTATATCGATTACATTATCCAATCAAATGGATTCGTGCGACTTCGATATCGCAACGTCAATGGCCAGCGAACTTGACTTCGTCAAGAATTGATGCCATCTATTTCATTTCGCGAAAGGTGACTCAAAGTTTGTGTCTGACAAAAGTATTTATAATCGTCCAGTATATTTTCAACATGTCCGATGAAAAGGATGTTCCTGCACCCGACGATAGGGATGTTTCTATGATTAGCGAATACGGTACTCCTGAAAATTTATCGTTCCGTACCGAGAATGTTACGCCGCAGAACATGTGCTTCACGCCGATTAAATCAAACGTTCTGGAGAAAACACCCCAGCAGGAGGCTACAGAAATATACTCCTCGCCGTTGTTCGAAGAGAATTTTCTACAATGGAGATGCATCGACCGTTCCACGACGACGCCAGCTGACGTTTCGCTCGTGTTAAATACCCCCAATGTTGCCACACCGAAGATATCCGCGTGCGACATGTCGTTGATCACGCAGATGAGCAAGCTCTGCTTGTTTACCCCGAAAAACATACGTTCGCCCGCCTCGACATCAACGGAAACGGAGACTACCTTGTTGAACATGGAATGTACGCCTGAGAAAAGCATCGAAGGAGCAGAGAGAAACGCGATTCTCGATCGCGACGAGATAAAGGACGAGTTCACGGAGGTCACCTCCTCCGATTACTCGACCATGCGGTTGGAGATGATGGACAAGGATTCGTCGTCGAAGATAACGTGCGACAACAGTTTGATCGATCAGTTTTCCTCAGGAGAGACGCAAAGCGGCGCGAGTCAGGAAGACGTGAGATTTCCGTCAGATTTCGCAGAAGCGAAAACAAAGGTTCGTAACTCTGCGGACGCAGAGTCGACTCATTTGCTTGACGACTCGACGGCGGCTTCGTTGTATAACCAGCCGAGTACCTTGAAAGACGATGAAGTGTACGAAACGGATACCTTCGACACGTTCAACGCTCAGTACAATCAAAATATCGCCCTAACGCGTCGCTATGTAGAAAAAATGATAACCAAGGAGGATAACCGGAGCCCTTCTGTTGGTTGTTTTCGGCGTTTATGGTCTCCGAGAAAGACGTCGTCGCCATGCCGATTGTTTCAAGAACCGAAGAAAATTAAAGAGAGATGTCAAGGCTGTGGAAACGTAAAAACGAGTTTGCCGGAAAAAGCACATATCGTGAAAACGTTGGTCGAAAGCCCGCCTCTTAAACTACGTCTTGGAAGGATGAAGAACAAGCGCGAGGTCCAGATACCCGAAAGAGCTAAAGGTAACGCGTTTCACCTTGGCGAGAAACAGTCGATCGATGATTATGGCGTGCCGTGCAGCAATAACAACCATTTCAACCTTGAACGTCGTATGTTTTTGCATTGGCCCGGCGAAACGTTATGAGATATTGTGATCCGCGGTACCTCGTTGTCGCCCACCTGTTACCTGTCAATCGTTATCGGCTTCACGCAAGCTGGACTATTTTACCGTTATTTATTATATATTATTTTAATGATAGCTCGATATCAGAATTTGAAACGCATCGATTAAAAATAGAGTAAGATGTTTCTTTTGTTTCATGAAATAAAATTATAATATGCAGTTTTGTGATGCTAATGATCGATTACGTGGCTTGAAATATTCCTTAATTAAAATTAATTTGAATCGAGAGACATATTATAATTATTGAATTCTTCGTGTATCGTGACGTAGTCCACAATCGCGAAAAAAAAAGTTTGCATTTTACGACGCTGTTTTTTCAGCTGCTACCTCGGTATGCGTACACTTAAATACAGAAATCGCGCAAGGCGCGACAAGCGCGATTAATAATTTTGCGTTGCGTAATCTCAAACGTCACGGAGGAATATCGCGCCAGTATTACACAATCATGTTACGTAATTATCTGAAATTAAACGAGCGAAGCTTTTTTATCGCATCTGTGTTACGCCTCATTGATCCCGTTAATGGATTCAGATTCACTAATGCACTTTCCCGTTACAGCACGAAAAGATCGCAAGTAAACCGCAAATGAAGTATATATGTACTTGTATATTTACACTTTTGTGAAGAGAAAATGAAAATGCGATTCTGATTTCGCTACATATTTTCTCGCGAATTTGAATCGCGATTTAAAGCATCCACGAGAGAATTCGAAATCATAAATCATCCGTTCATAGACAGAGAACAGACAGGAAAACAAGAGAGAGAGAGAGAGAGAGAGATTACGCATCTCAATATTTACATATTTATTTCGTGCGCACACACTCATCAATTCTTACGAGTTGGCGACTATGGCTTTCGCTTCGCTCGCATAGTCGTTCGATCAATATTTAGGCACAGTTGTCGTCAGTATTTGCGTTTCGATTTATCTGTACGATTGCTTTGTAGCGCCGCGGTATCTCGTAAAAAGGCGTTAATTGTCACGTGCGGAATTATGGCGAACAGCTCGGTTGTAATTAATGTCGCGCAGCATCGGTAAATGAACTATTTCTTAAGCCAAGACAGCGAAGAGAAATTTGCGAAGCGTTTATAAAAGATCGCAGTCCTTTTAATCGCGATTATAGGAGATTCTCTCCCTTTCTGTATTAAACAATTTTATTTTAAAATATATATTATGAAAATATATTTTATTTGTATTTATATTTTTATAAGATTTTTTTATTATGTAAAACTTTATCGTACACGCTACTACTTAATGTTTCTAATTCCGTGGCATTTGTTTTGTTCACAGATGTCCCGTTTCCACCGTCGCACAAAATGACAGTGGCAGAAGTCTTCGACGAACGAACAGGATCTCCGCGGCCGGAGGTCCTGAAACAACACTTTATCCTCGAGGGTAGGATCGACGAGGCTGCGGCTCTTCGTATAATCAACGATGGAGCCGCTCTTTTACGTTCGGAGAAAACCATGATAGACATCGAGGCTCCTGTCACCGGTGAGTGGAAAATTTAAGTTTTAATTGAATTAAATTTTTCACTGCGTATACAACGTAATTATTGTATCGTATCGATTTTCATTTGGCGGAGAGAAAACAATCTCGGTGATTCTTTGCGATTTGAATAATATGTGCTCCAATATATCGAGCGAGCGAGATTGTCTTGATTAATTGAATGTAAAATATGCACGTTTTAATCAAAATTGAAAATTTGGTTCGCCATTCGTCTACCGCGAGCACGTCCGCCTTTATTTCTTGGTCAATTATCCTTGAATTAAGTCCGTCGCGACGACCTCCTTTGTGGCGTCCGCTGATTGTTCTGGAAGCGCAGAATAGGAGAACGTAATAAATCCCACCCTCTCGGCTACTCTCTTCGATCGATTCAGTCCTATTTCCTTCCACGCCTCCTTTCTCCGCCGTCATCTTTTTACACACGCACCATTGACAGTTATTACTTTCTGCGTCGCCGCGATACAAGTTTCATTAACGGGATTAATGGACATTCATTTGCTTTTTTTCTTTTTTAATATAGTATTTCGTTGTTTCATTAATCGGTCGCCTTTGAAACGTCAAAAAGTGGTATTTAATTCGAGAGAGAAGCCTTGCATAAAATAATGTTCTTCAATGTCCGATTTATTTTTAATTAACGGAATATTTATTACTTTTTTTTTTTTTTGGAGCGCTAACCCAAAAATGCAAAGTATTGGTTTCAATTCTGATTATTATGAACGTTCGATATGTAATATAGATAATTAACAAAAAATAATTAGGTATACAAAGGAACGATATCGCTGTAATTTTTATTTATTTGAAAATATGTTTTTCTGTTCTGCTTTTAATAACCTTCGATTCATCGAATTGTATGCGCGCGTGTTCGTGGTAGCAACCACGCTGTATATTTTTCGCGCATTATTCTCGTCTCGTTGGAATCGATGATCAACGAATCGGCCTTAGATTTATTCATATCGGTGGATCGGTCGTCTCTTGATTTCGCACGTTTTTTCCCTCCTTCGGCATCGTCTGTGCTATTCGTTCGCGCGTCTGATGCATCCCTCACGCGTTGCGGAAAAATTTATCTTTCTACTCAACTGTAGCCATTCTATTCTGTTTTACCGCGATGCGGATTCACATTCGACAACTAGACACCGCAATTTCTCTTTGTCGGTTCTGCTTTTCTTTTTCCTCTTTTTCTTTCTCTTTCTCTCCGCGGGCGACACATGTGCCAAAATGCACGGCACCAGCTATTATCTCCGACAAAGTGGCGACGCGAAGAAAAGGCAGCATCTATCGGGCAGATATTTTAAATCGCTCTTGCAAATTGCCTTCAATTTCTGAATTTATGAAAATTTAATTCAACGAAAAAATACGATCGATCGCAGCGTAATTTGTTTTTCGGTTTTGGTTGATTTGCTTGATAAACTGTAACACCTATACTGGAAAACTGGTGAATTAATCCGAAACCCAAGAAAACCTTGAAACTATTTGATCCATTGGGAAATTAATAATTGACGACTGTTATTTGTCTTGCACGAAAGATCAATTTGCATAATTCAAAAATTACTTACTGTCACATAGAGATTACACTTTGAAGTTTATAATTAATACGTTACATTTTAAGAAATAAGAAAATAAATATTCTTTTTTTAATTCTTAATAAATTTTCTCCGCGTCTTTCTTTCAATTGCGCGATTGGGTAATTAACAGGCGGATCTAACAATTTTTACAAGTGCGGTATCTCGGATTGAAGAGGTGAAGAAGATCAAATTATATTCGGATAATTGGTAGAAGGTCAGAAAGTGCCCTTTTGGTATCTTCTTTTGAAGCAATCAGGTTTCTTTCCACTCGTACGGCTTCGCGATGCGTTTCTTTGAATGACATATAACCCTCGATTGTTCACAATCACGTGCGGTTCAATTTTCACACGAATAAGCAGTTCAGAGAACAGGGACAGTCAATCAGATGATAGTAATTTGTGGTCGCTTGGATCTCTCATTTTCAGTGTAGCTACATATTATCATGTATCAAAAGTACATACTTTGATTATTAAATTACGTGTCTTTAAAGTTATTAATAATCTCAGATTTTTGAGAAAGTATAGTTTTAGGAATGATTATTTTGAAATAAATTTCAACTAAAATGCATTCTTAGCTTTAAAAACATACTTTAAAACTGCTGATCAATTAAAATTCATAAGAATATTATATTTAACATTTTTTAATAATTCTCTTGTTATTATATGTTTCTAGAGAGTCAAAATTAAGAGATAAAATTTATAAAAGGAATTTAGGATTAAAATTAAAAGATAATAAATAGATTTGTGTAATAAATAAAAAAATTAATTTATCAACATCAGATTTAGAGACAAAGAAAATATTATCTTATAAACCCAAGATTAAACGTTTTGTTTCTTTTGATATCAAAAAAGGATAGCATGTGCGTATAATTATAAGGAACCAAAATTAAACCTAATTAATATTAGTAAAGTCAAATCTTTAATGCGCCATAAAATTTTTTTTCCAACATCCAGACGGCCTATAAACGAACTTTGCGGATATTTAAATGAATGATAATAGCTTGCTCGAACGTAACTAAATGGGTCTTTTCCGGCAATTAGTGCGTTTCTTTACGTCGTTAAGAAACAGTCATTTCCACGTTCTTAGAACGAAGTGGCTCGTTTCAGGTTCTCACGTTCAACTTTCGTCCTCTGCTTTATAAGTGGGATAAAACAGGACGTTACGATAATCGCTTCGACGTTGCACTAATATCCTCCTTTCGCTTCTTTTCTCGCTCTTGCAATTTTTTTAACTCCAGGACTCCGGCGAGTTTCTTCGTTACGTGCGGTCATAAAGCTTTATTGTTATCCTTCATGCTTGCGCTTATATTCCTGCGAAATAGTACTTGGAAAAAGTGGCGACGCAATCGAAAAGTTATCGCTGAAAGTTAGTGCTGTTAAGAAAAAAGAAAAGTGTGTTACCTTTGAAAAAAAAGAATATGCTAGAGTTATCGTAAAATGATTTCCTTATATTTTAACATAATTTCTGCTTGTGTCTTCGAGCATAGTTTACATGTGGGAGTTTTGTTCACATCCACATTTAATACTAAATAATTTACAATACAACTTTTTGCATTTGAAATTTACAATATAACTATTGCATTCGAAATTTTTGACGCTTTTGAGACAAATAGGAGAGATAGATAAGATAACAATCAATGGAGATATTTTAGATCGTATTCCGTAGCTTGTCGCGATTTCAGTTTGTCCGTCTGATGAAATGATTTTCTGTTTGCTCGTTTAGCGCGATCGTTTTTCTTGAAAAATGCTCGCGGCAATTAAAACTTTAATTTTGACAACGCAAAAACATCTCTGCTGTTCGTTTCGACGTGATCGCAAATTTGCGCTCGGCAGGGAAAATCTAATACCATTTCGCGTACCAAATCGCGCGCTTCCAGATCGCTGTTATCTGGAAAAAAATCTGAGTCAAGTATTTATCCGCATCGAGCTGCCGAGAGAATTAACACACATGTTTTTCTGCCGCTGTTGCAATATGTGAAAAGCCGACTGCGTCGACGCGTAGTTCAAATCCGAAAAGGGGAACATAGTTGTTATCTAACGGCGCGCTATCTTAATAGTCTTCCTGCCGTGTCGCGGCAAAATTGATACGGAGCCGGAAACATGATTATGCGAGTGTTGACCGAACTCGGGCACCGGCTGGTGTGTAGGAGCATAAATTATTCATACAAGTGTGAGCGGTGAGGCAGGAGGGAGGTACGGGAAAAGGGGAAGGCTGAGGGGTGCGAGAGTGACAAGCACGGGATGAAACACAGTAGCAATATTGTTCGTTCGCTATAAAGCATACCTAAAAAGCATTAAATGTTTATCGTTTGTCGACGCTGTGCCACATCGATGTTGTCCGTCTAAATATTGAACCATATCGATAATCGACGGGATGATATGCGCGGATGGGAAAAATAACGATATAAATATATTTTCGGTATCTCTATATTTTTTATTCACGCGCGAGCGCGCGTTGCCTTTAAATATGTAAAATCGCGCCCGAGCGTTCGAAAACTTGAAATCCGAGATGATAGCCAATCAGTTTCTTAACGAAAATACTCGTTGGCGGATCATTAAGTTCGATTTAAATGGTACAAATGTTTTGTCTGGCGTTTTTCATTTCGAGCGAAAAACATTGTACGCATATAAAAATATATTTGTCTGTAGCATTCAAATATCATTCCCGTACGGACGCATGCTGCGGAAAAATGTATGTAGATGTGTATTAGATTCTGCACATTAATTACACTTCCATATGGAGGTGGAATGGGCGTGGTTTGCGGGGGTGAAAAATCGAGTCGCTTTTATGCCACGGATGGGGGTAAAGGTCTTTGCGGTCTTTTTTTTGCGCCAAAACGGATAACGCCAAGTTAATACGAAGTAAAAGCTTCGCGGGCTGACGTTTTAATAAACGCATCCGTTTTCAGGATGAAAATTCTCATCCGCGAAAAACCGTCATATATAGAGCAAAAGAGCGACGACGAAGTCGAGTCGCGAATTTTACGCAACATCGTAATAATATATCCGACCGAGTTGGACGATTCGTCCAACGCGCGCGTGACGGATTGCGACGCAAAAGCGGTCAAAGTGCAACGGGATGGCTGCAAATGTCCCCGGGACAACGGCGACACAATGCGCGAGCGGTGAATTATTCAAAAAACTCTCGGCGGGGACAAAGAGAGCGCGAAGCAGTTGCGGGAGGAGCAGCTCTTGTGGAGGAGCATTAATTGACTCCGTTATCACGGAGCGCGCACATATACAGTACGCGCGCGCGTGTTGGTGCATGTAACACACGTGGGCGTTTGACAGTTTATATTTGTCGGCGCGATGACGACGGAGTTCTACGCACACCAAGTGTACTCGATCGCGTCGCGGAGTCGTTAATTATCTTATTAAGTGGTAACGAGACGAAGTCTCTGAATATGCGCCCCTGGTTAGCGGCGTC